TGGCATTCCCATCAAAGCGCCAACATTATGCAAGCTGAATAGCTGATAACACAAGGTGATGTGCTTCTAGGCAGTAAAAACTATTCTTAAGCTCTTCTTACAGCCAAGGAGTTTGACTTGGACACGTTACTGTACTTCTGTACCTAGCACTATCAGAGGATGAGCATTTGCACCATAAGAACAATGTGATAATAAAAAAAAAGAGAAGATTTATCCCTTTTCAAATTCAAAAAACCTCACTGCATGGGAAGGAATTCTCCCTTGTGAATATGGGTTAGTCTGTCTGGACTAATCCTCTACTCATATGTAGTGGCTTATTAGGGATTTAAAAAAAACATCTGAAGGCTTAGACAGTATATTTACAGTGGAACAGGCTTACATGAAAGATGTATTTTCAGTGAATTTAATGACATGTTTGACTTGAATTAATGTTGGAGAAATGTAGAAATCTGTTGGGTTTTTTTTCCCCTGGTGTTTCTATGAAACCCTTTAATAAAGGCTTTACAGAAGCAGTAATATGTAACTTTAAAAGGGCACTAAAGCCAATTGAAAGCGAGCCAGTGCAGACTGAATTCCTGCTTCCTGCAGAACAGCAATAAATCCTCCTGCCACCACTCAGTTCCCTTTAAACCACAGAGCTACAGATCATCAGACCGCCACGATGACCATAGCTCACCCAAAGCAAGTGTCTTAAGTCTCTATGTCGATGGTTTCCCCAGACTTACTGTGGCTTGTTCGTTGACTTCTCTACTCCACCCACTCCAGCCACTTTTTGTTGGAGTGTATTTTATTTTGTTTTCTTTGAACCTACTGGGGTTAGTTCATAGAGTGACATTCAAGCGCAGCCCCCACATACCAGTTTTGTAGTAACCCCCTTATGAACTGCACAAACATCTAAGAAGAGAAAGAAATCTCAGTGCAGAGGGCAGAAGAGCAGAGAAAATTAATGCGGAGCAGAGACTCACGGAGTGAAGCGCAGCGGGAACATGAGCTGCCCAAGGATGCCCCATAAACCAAGGGCAGAATTGGGAACAGAGCCTATTTCCTAAATCCCTGTCTATCTACCCAACGCTCTCCAACTCATATTGCTTCTGAATAAAGGTCAACACAATTTTTGCCAACATTTTATTCATTTGCAAACAGCACCTACTTCAAAACAGTCTTTCTATGCTCGATATCCAGGCCTTAAAACACTACCTAATCCTCTAGCAAAACACACGTCTACATGGGCACGGTTAAGATTAAGCAAGGCACAAACCCACGATCAACTGAACAGCGATGGAAGAGCCAGATACAGAGTACGTGCAAAGAGCTACACGAGTGCTGTTTTACCGCAGCTGTAGGTCTGACAGCGTAATGTAACATAACGTAACGTGCTGCCAGCTGTGGACCAGAGCTCGCAAGATGCTGCAGATATCTCAGAGGGATATTTCGGTCTCCACAGAACTCCCCCGCACGGCTCGGTTTGGTATAGCTATCGGCAAAGCCTGGTTTCAGGATGCTTTTTATATTGTGTGAACTCCAGCAAGGGATACGCATTTTACACGGCACAATTTAGGGAAAAGAGCTGCACGGCTACGGGAATATTCATGCCCGTTTTCTCGCAATGATGCAAAGGACGTGGCAGAGGGCTGCAAGCACTCCAGGGAATGCAGCTTCAAGGGTGATTTCCTGCAAGCTCGGCCTGCTAAAAGCCCATTTGCACGCATTAATCCTGCCACGGTCATTAAGTGAAGCGTGGTAGCAGAGACCTCCACAAAGCAGTAATTTCACTTGCAGTGACTTGATTACTTGCAATTCTCTGTACATACCCAAGGGTGCTCTCAGTGCTTTAATACACCAATATTGTTCTAGTCTAAGAAAGCCATTTTATTCCCATTGGGAAGGCAAAGTCCTGATGCACTTTAGCCTCTCATTTTCCGGAAGGGGATTTTACTCGCTGTTTAGAAATACTGTCAGAAGTAATGTGTCATTTGCTGCTTTTACCTCCACGTTTCAGGGCGGAGTCCACCAACTCTATCACAACTCATAAATTTCCGTACAAGTGAACACTGTGCTCCTAGAAACTGCTCCCCTGCCTGCAGCCTCCCCGGACACCTCCTGCGGCACTACAGCCCGGCTTCCTAAAGCTTAAGCAAGAAAACTGGACCACACCAAAATCAACAACTTTTCCATTGAGTTTCTAGGAGCCAAGAGTCTGTGATTGGTGTACACAAAAGGTTTGCTGTTAGAAAAATCTACATATCTGGAGAATTTCAGCTATCTAAAAGTATTTATTAAGATAGCCTTGCAAATCTCTATCTCTGCATGCATTACATAAACAAACACACTGGCAAAGATGCAGCAGACGTGTCATGGTATCATTACATTACTTGCACGACCTTTGTCAAGGAACCACAGAGCTTTTCTGCTGGCATTGGGGCATTTTATGTGACATCTCGCCATCAACAAACAGCTGTACCACACTCCTTGTGGTATTTTTGAGCTCTTTTTAGTCGCCCCAAGATAGCAAAGATTATTATTTCTGTTCCCTAACACCAAGGATCCCTTATCACCAAGAGGCCCCCTAGCATGTTAGATGATAAATGAACACACAAAAAAGCTTTAGAGCTTACAGGCTGAAGATAAGGCAGATAGGAGAGCCCAAGCAAAGATAACACTGGCCTGTGTGGGTGACTGGCCATAACATATCAGCAGTTTAGTCAGTGCCAAGTTTTGCCAAAGCAGCTACAACCTGCAGTTAATGAATTGCACTTTTTCAGTGCAAAGTAACAAGACATTCAACATAATTATTTCAGTATGATATGTGGCAGACGATCATGCCACCACCTTCTGATTTATTACCAGTTTCAACACATCAAGGGTTTTACTCAAGCCCCCAGCTCTCAGGAGCCTTCCTTCCAATTCTGGCTTCCTTCCACAACCAGGCGTATCTGTAACTCACAGGGGTGCAAAGGACAGCTTGAAAACGAAACCTGGGTTTGCCCTCCAGAATTTAGAAACTGAAAGAAAAACCACTAACCATTCTGGCTGCTTTTTTTAAAATAGAGAAAAATAAGAAGATACGCTGTATCTCGAGATTTCTTTGTCACTGCCAGGATGCTCTGCCAGCTGATACATAGATCAGCACAGCTGGCCGGTTACCCAGCTGAGGTACGAACCATGCAATCCAGCCAACAGCTTTGTTCATTTGTGGTTCAAATTCACTGCAGTTTATTTCTGGAAGTATTTAAAATGCCTGTCCCGAAGGCCTTAGGACCACTGCATCCAGTGAATCATCCATGACACCTGACGTAGACAGGTAATAAATCTCACCATGTTTACTAAAGCTTTCTATAGGACTCTAGGTACTTCGCATTAAGATGATGTAAAATAGCATATGGGACAGACACCTGCAACAGTGTGGGGCCACTGCTATTTTTCCCCTAATAACCAGGTAAAATCCACCAGTTAAAGAGCACCATACACAGTAACTCAAGCAGTATCTAGAGGGACACAGTAACCTGGCATTAAGCATCCCATCTTAGGATTTCAGAAAACAGATTTCCATTTTTTGCCCAATCATGGACACGCTTGGGTAGAACAAACCAACTTAAGCCACAATTTCCCTGCAGCCAAATTAGTTTTAAAAGCTGTTTTGGCCACCAGACAAAGTGTCTCTGCCAGCACAGGACACAGCAGGGACCAACTCGGGCAGGGTCTCCCCAGTTTCTTGGGTGGGTTTTGCAGCCCAGGCTGATGGGGACAGAGCAGGACCTGAGCTGGCTGTGCTTGGGAACAGCTACACAACACTGCAGCCACTTCTGTGGCTACAAGATCAACATCTCTCTTGTCTCTGTCCCTCTGTGCTTCACCTGGAGGACAAAGAAAACATTTCCCTTCCTTTCAAGAGACATGAACTTAAGTCTATCAAGCACCAAGAGGGAGAAAACCAACCAGCAAGACACTGAAGAAGCTTGTTAGCCAAAAAGGCCTTTAGCTTATAGCTCCCAAATTATGGGAAAAATAACAGGAGCTGATGCAGATAACATTAGATTTGCTGGAGATACAACAGCCTTCATGTGGCCCAGCTGGAACACGATACAGCTGAAGGAAGGCTCGGGGGCAAGAGGCAAGGTCAGACACATGGACATGCACATTGAAAGCCAGGACGTAGGTCGCACTTGCTGCAGAGGTTCAGAAATCCCCGTTTCAGCGGGGCGGACAGCAGCGATGACTCACATGTATCACATTACTGGTAAATTTACCCTGGTTCATGCTTTCCCTTAGGCAGGAGGCATTGTACCCAGCTTTTCCAGGAAGCATATTGTATCATCTCAGGGGATTTGTGTGGGGCAAGGGGTACTCTGCCCTGTAAGAGCAGAGCTCATGTTCTACCTACGGAAAATAAGTGCCAAGGTAGGCTTGGCACTGCCCTCTGGGGAGCTTACAGACAACATGGAAAGTATTAAATTCTGATGGGAGCAGCAGCTGGCTTCTATCAGAAAGCACTATCTCTGTCCTTTTAAAATCCTTAGCATTTCTTTTCTCACTGGAGAGATAAACAGCCTACCAAGGTCATTTGCACTCTGCTGGCTGAGGAAGATGTGCCGAGGCTGCAGGGCAGCGTGGCTCGGCTCATCAGGGGTGGGATGCTTTGAACAACACTGCGTTCCTACAAAAATAACGGTACCAAGCATGACTCGAGATTAACCAAGGCCCTTCTTCAGTGCCCGAGTGGATAACAGCGTCACTGCTTCTGACTGCCAGTGGGCTGCAAGGCAGCAGCAGCGTAAATGGAAATTAGTCTCTTTATGGATGGCAGGCAGGACTGCAAGGCTGTATCAGTGCAGAACACAGCTGAACATAAACCGACCCCCTTGGCAATAGCACCGCATCAAATAAATCGGCATCTCAACTTACCTAGTGAACGCGTTATCCTTTTGCAAACGGAGAGTAAACATAGCAGATGAGGCAAGCGGATCAGCAGAAACCGGAGCTCCGAGGCAGGGTCCCCTTACACAACAGTAGTCCTTTTCCCTGGCAGGTCAGAGGAGTTTTCGTAGGCAGGGACGAGCCCCTTTGCCCAGCGGGTGTTGGGGGAGCCCTGCTGCATCACCACCAGCCGGATTGGAGGCTGGGTGTCTGCAGGGACCTCGGGAGCATATTCCTTGCTCGGATCCTTCCCCCTGCAGTCATAGAGCACGCAGGAGATCAGGAAAACCAGAAGCAAAATAACATAACTAGCTACCAGAATGATGAGATTCAAGGTAACGGGATCAATCTCCAAATAAAACTCCATTTGGTCCCATACTATTGAGTGCAAACCCGGAGAATGAAGTTTCATATGCACGAGTGAGCAACCGCTAACTGATCAGAATAGATCTATTGGCTTTGCGGTAAAAATACATTAATCCTCAGGTCTCCTGTAGCAATGGATTTCCCCGAACTGGATGATTAAAGCAGCTCAGTTTAATAACTTAAGCTCCTTCTTTTAATGCCACGTTGCCTACAGTGGCAGAAGCTAAATTTGAATGCTATATTGACAGGAAAACATCCCCCTTCTTCAGGAACTATCTCTTTCCTTGATGGGCAGGTACCAAGCTGGGTTTCCTCTAAGGGCATTTTGCAGAACCTCCCTTCTACAAGTGGGTTTGGGCTCATGGGCTGAAGAAAACCAAGCTGCGTAATTAGGAAGTGAATACAGAAATAAATTAGGGAGAAAGTCATACGCGGGATAACTTTTCTCAAAATCTAACGAGCCTGATTCTGATTTTGACTAAGACCTTTTTGCCCTGCACTAGTGCTATAGAAGGGCTATTAAAGTAAATTAAAGGCTTTTATTACCCAATTTCACATCAGGATTACTGGGACACGTCACACCACTGTATCACACACTGCCCAGCCAGTCCTTGCACAAACTCAGCTGTAGGATCCTGCTTCCCGCAGGCTGTTCTGTCCCCTTTGAGTCTCCCATGTGCGAGAAGGTACAACACAACTGGAGCATTTCTGTAGCCTGGGCACCACTAACTTCTCTGTCCCATGTGGATCCTCCACTTGCTAAAATAAAAGTTAACTTTGCGATGTGGCTGTGCCCTGCCTGGCAGCAGTGCCAGGCTGCCCAGCCACAAAACCTGCAAGTACTTTTTGCATCTTCCAGATTTACATCTCTGAAGCTGATGAGTAAGGACACGTATAGCTGCCACACGTTGCCCACACAGCGCTTCCTTGTTTCCCTAGAAAACTGTGCTAGAGTTTTCCTCCTCCTCCTCCAAAAAAAATACCATTGTATAAGATACCAGGAAGGCAGACGGGAAGGGCAGGAGGTGATGCTGATGAACACCACAGACCCTACATCAGCATGCTCACTGCTTCCACGCAAAACTCCAAGGTTTTGGTCAGCATTACAGCACAGGAGGGGTTTAGGAAGAGATGAGGCTGTCCAGCTCTTAGCACTGCCAGAGCTGTGGAAAAGGGCTTTACGTGTCAGCGGGAATCTGATCTGGCGCGTCTAAGCTGTGAGTAAGAAATATGTCATGGGGCCATCCTGCTGCCGTCGACCTCGACACATGCCACTCGTTTTAAGGCCAACATCAGCTGCATCCCCTACCATCTGCCCTCATGGCTCTTCAGCTGAGAAGTCTGTATCAAGAAGTAATCCCAAGCCCAGCATTGCAAGAGGCACACTCAGCAAGGAGGAGGGAGCCCCATAGCACTGAAGATACACATTTTCACATACCATGTCTGAAGACCACCAGGCATTTGGGTGTTCAATGTAGTTTAGATGAGGCTGAGATTCTTCAAGACAGGCTAAGGCTTTTGATTATGCACTTCCCCTCCAAAGCAACAACAATCGGAGGTGGAATTTGGTTTCAGTGCTCGCTGGGAAACTGAAAGTCTTTTGAAAATCTCTCCAAAATGCCTCAGAAGCACAAGCGCCTTTGAAAGGCAATAGGATTGAAATTTAAGACCATAAACCATATTACACTACAAAAAATTAGTACTGAAGTAGTAAATACTATGTAGTTCACATGTTGAGAAAGATATGGGATTTTATGTTAGTTTAAGGCTTTTAAACTAGTCCTCAAATGGCAGCCTGGATTCTGAAAACTTAGCACTGTGCTCACAAAAGAAAGTTTATGGGATTTTTTTCTCCCTTGTGTTTAATTAGTACCAGCAAGTTTGCTAAACCTGAATTGTCTCCTCTAAAGTCCTCCACACTAATAGCTTGGTTTCCGATTTCTGTCTAATACTGCAGCTGGGAGATATGTGACATTAAGTATTTAATTTGGATAGGCATCAGGCCAGCTTTTAGGGGGGGCTTTTCAAAATGTATAGTCTGGTCCTCGATTACTGCACCACCTTCTGTATCGCTGCAGACACGATCTCTTGGCAAGATAAAAGCCTCGATGTTTCTACATCTCTGCAGCTTCTCAAAACACCCTCTTAGAGTGAAAATACATTATATTTTCAAAACACCTCCCCAAGGCTGTACCTAGGGCCTGGTTTGCAACAAGGAGATCTTGCATTTACGCTTTTGTTGTATTCCCAGGATCCCTGTCCTTGAGCCAGAGCTGCTCACAGCAGCTTGTGCCTGGAGTCAGCACACTGAAAACTGAATTCTATGAGGGGATTTGGCTTTGATATCATTACTTATTCCCTCCTCCCAGCCCACATCCAGGGCAGATTGCAGACATTCACTGTTTGATATTCCTGTGCCCAAGGATTGCCAGGATCCAATACAGCCTGCCAGCACCCCTGTCCCAGGAGGAGCATCACACCACCTCGGGAACCTCGTCTGCACACACGCTGGAGCTTTTTATAGTGGAGCCTCACTCCAGCAAGCTGGCACTACTCCCAGGGTCAGTGTCCTGGAGTTCCTCCCCTGCCTGACACCGCTCCCTCCTGCCCATCCCACAGCCACAGCTCCACAGCTGACCATCCCTCGCCAGCCTTCACCATCTCACCCTCCTCATGCTGTTTATGCCTGCACCCTTAAGAAAAGTTGTTCAAATCCCCATTGGCATCTGTGCTGATGGAGTAGTGACAGCTCTCCCAGTTCTGCAGTGAGCAGGTGCACATTTCCCCCAAGCAAATGAGAGTCTCGGGAGTTTTGGAGGATTGCAAAAAACCTAAACAAGTTGTGCATGTGCTTCCCTAGGCAGTGCCAAGAGCCGGGCTGATGGCCGGGGTGAAGCGCTGCCTTGCGCTTGTGCAGGCTGGCTCCAGGTGACAGGTGAGACCATGTCTGTGGGACCCACTTTCCTTAGCTGTCCAAAATTTCTCTCCGCTATAATTGCTTCAAAGGCCAGACCAGCTCTACCATGGGATGTACCAGAGTGCAGAGATGGTGGGTTGCACAAAACCTCTGATATATCCTCTAAAAGTGGATTAGCTGGAGTCCGCTATTTATTTATTCCACTATTCCATTATTTAGTGTTTGACAAAGAGCCTACCCCAAGGGTCAGAGCTCCTGGCTGGAGACCCAAGGCCACCAGCTGCCACCGATGCAACTCCACACTCAGTTCTCCTTTGTTTTTTTCCTCTTATTTTGTCCACCTTGGTTTATAGGCACTTCTGGACAGAAAGCACCTCTTCTTCTGCGAGCACCTAGTTCAACTGGGATGAGAGATAAGGTGTACATAACAGAACAGAAAATTCCATATTTTTGTATACTTTTTGCCTAAAGCCATTGTACAGTAAATGTCACAGTACAAAAGTTATTGAAAACAGCAAAGAACTTCTCTATGATCAGAGAAAAAACTGGAGTTTAAAAAGAAAGTTTTGGGAAGGGGTTCTAGTGGGAGAAAGCCACAAGTGCTCTGTTTTGAGAGCAACTACAGCACAAGTAGCAAAGAGATGGCAGGCAACAGCTGAAGAAAAGAAATCGGTCTGCAAGGAACTACAGCACCTTCGCATCTAATGCATGAGTTGAGTAATAGGTCCCTGCTGCGCTGGCTCTTTTTGACTGTATCAGGTTTGGGCTGATCACACAAGCATTTTAGCTGGCAGGTCCAACACAGAGCAGCTCAGAAGGGTGACCCATCGCACAATGCATCAAGATGGATTTACACAGCAGAATATCCAAAAGGGACCAGGCTTTGCTGGACTCAGCCATAGGGAAGCAAAAAGCAGTTTCTAGTCCTGATGCTTCCTAGGTGAAAAATAAGTAGCCAGAGTGCCAGCAGAGCCTCGTGCACTGCAGAAAACACTGCTCAACACACCTGGTGCAGCCGGCCTGATTCCAGCCAGCTGCACCTTGGATCTGTGACTCAGTGAGACAGCCGTCACTGCCAGGCTTGATTGGCTTAACTGTGGTGTCATTGCTAAAAATAGCCCCTAGGAAATAAATCTCTTCAATCCTGGTGCAGTGTGAAAGAAGGGAATACACATGACAGCAATCCCAGCATATTTCAAACAGAATAATGGATGGATTGAGACAGGCTATCAGAAAGCACAGACCTTACCTGGTTAACACCCCGTCCTGCCTTGTCTCTGCAGCTTGGGACAGCAAAGGTGGATGTTTATGGCTGCAGGCAGCTGCCCGAGTCCATCGCCTTCCTCATACAAGAAGTAATAACTGAAGAGGGAAGCTGCAGAGACTGAAGGGCAGCAGGGAGAAACCTGGTGTGATCAGGAACCAAAACAGTTACTCCCATAGCTACAGTCCCAATCTCGAGCGCCCAGAGCAAATCCAACGAAAGCAGACTGGTTGCGCACATCGTGTGCGGACACCAGTGGCAGGAACACGGCCACCAAGCTCCTCCTTGGCGATGCCTCCGGGGTGCTGCAAACGCCTGCTTAAACAGCATTTGGTGTTTGTAAGGGGCCACACACAAGTGTGTATTTTAGCCTGTGGCTTTCGGGGTCTTGCCTTCCTCTAGCACAAGCTCTGCCAGGGTGTAAGAGGGCTCAGACCCCCTCCCCTACTCCCCCCTGTGCTACGAGGAGCCACTCACCCAGGTCTCCCCTCTTGCCTGCTTATTTCCATAGGGCAAGAAGTAATTTAATGAGACCTTTGGTGAAAGGGGGCTGGACTCGACCAGCACCACTCAAAATAACGAGAGGCAAGGGACAGACAGGAGCCCAGCAGCACACGACAGACCGACGCGACAGCCCCGCACACCCGAACCCGCAGCAACCGAAGCCCAGCGAGCTGTGCAAGGCGATATCGCGACTTCAAACCCCCGTTTCCCTACAGGCCTCTTGCAGCTCGGGTATTCCAAGCTCTCCTCATCCCTTCCTACAGCTGACCACACGTAGGTGCTGTTGCTTTCCTTATGGAAAGCTCCCGGTTTCCCC